CAAGTTACTTTGGTATCTTTAATAAAAAATCAAATTTGGCTGGGCACGGTGGCGCATGCCTGTGATGTCAGCACTTTGGGAGGTCGAAGCAGACGGATCTCTCCCACTGAAGCAAGAGAATTGCCTGAACCTGGGAGGTGGAGGTTGCAGTGAGCAGAGATTGCACCATCACACTCCAGCCTGGGTGACACGAGAGACTCTGTCTCAAAAAAGAAAAAAAAAATTAAATCTAATTGTAAAGTTAACATCTGCCACTTTAGAAATTATACTTGGCTGTAAGTAAACTGGTGGTTTTAGTAAGAGGGAGAGTTATTTATCAAATGTAGAATGATGGAAGGTAAGTAGCTGCTGTCTTTGCTCAGTGGCTCAAAAATGTCAAGGTTGGTGTCTGAATCCCTTGGCCTGTGTATTAGCATTTGAGATGACTGCCCATCTCTAGGCGTTGCATCTTTATTTAAGGTGGAAAGAAGGGGATGTGCTTGACATGAGTGATGGCGTCCATTTTTATCAGGTAAACAAAACCTTTCCAAGAGGCTTTTGAAAAATTCTTAAGTCACATTTGGCCACAATTCTGTGTGATATGGTTACCACTAGCTATAGGGGAGGCTGGAAAAGTGAAGATATTTCCTGTTACAGAAAAAGCAGGCAAGGGGAAAGGGCTGGAAATAGATTTGGAATTAGCTATTTAACAGGGTTTGCTAAAGGCTGTTAAATAGCTAATTTAAAGCTAATTTATTAGATTGGTCACGGACTCTGGAGGGAGTTAAGAGCCATTTAGAGCAACAGTACCGTTGGTTGAATAAGTTCATAACTTTCCAAGATAGATAAACTTGTTCAAACCTTTTCTGCTGTTTCTGTAATACATTTCTTTGAAAGGAATATCACTTATTTGGAAGTATAAATTCTGAATTTAAAATCTCAAGTCAAATTACTTTATCATCCCTTTCCTCACCATGTGATTTCTGAGTTGAATTGAAGAGAAAGGGCATTCTAGGCAAGTAATAGTGGTAGGAGCTATACCATTGTTCTGAGTTTCATTAGTCTCCAAAATGCCTGTTAAGATACCTCCACCTGGACATGAGATGAGCTTCTTTACAATACTTTATTGAGATAAAATTTACATATAGTAAAATGTGTAAGTATTAAATATACAGCTAGTGTATTCTAATAGCTGTATACACCTGTGTGACTATCACCTAAATCAAGATAAAGATTGCCATCATCCCAGAAAGTTTCCTCTTGCCCCTTTCCGGTCAAGACCCACCCATTCCAGGCAATCACTTTTCTGATGTTTATCACAACAGATGTGTCTGTCAACTTCTTAGCAGTGGAAGTCACAGAATCACATGTTTCTTTTGGGTTTGGCTTTTTTTGCTCAACAGTGTTATTGAGAGTTATCCATGATGTATGATTAGTTCTTTCTGACTTTCTTTCCTTTTTTTGGCCAAGTGTAATATTCCATTATGTGAAAATACCACAGAATTTCTCCTGTTAATGGAAATGTAAGTTTCAGTTTTGAGCTAGAGGAATAAAGCTGCCATGACCGCAAGCGTTTTAAGCAGTACGCCAGATGGAATTGTTCATCTCTTATCTTCAGTTGCCTGTTCTGAGGCTTCCAGTTTTCCCCATCTTATTGAATAGTACCACCTTACTTTGAGAATAGTACCACCGTGCTTTGAGTTACTCAAAATAAAACGAAATCATTTTTTGATCTCTTTTTTATTCTAACAGATAATTATTGACCTTTTATTAGGGACTAGAATTAGTGATAGAGATAAAAAACTATAATGGAGGCATGGGCGATGATGGAGATAAGTATTAAAAAACTGCTTTAGAACTCTAGAAGTGCAAAGGAGAGAAGTACCTAGCCTGGGGCAGCTAGGGCAGACTTCCTGGAGGAGATCTGAAGGGCCCAAACAAGTTAAACAAAGGGAAGTGTACACCAAAATATGAGTAGCATTGTCATAGGTAAGAGAGCAAGGGACATCACAGGAACTGCGAGAAAGTCAGTATTACAGCTGTAGAGAGGATTTGAGGTGGCGGAGGGAGAAAGTAGCAAGAGACAAAGGGGTCAGCTTTAAGGATGTGTGCCGACTTTGATGGGGTGATGAGAAGTTACTGTGGGGTTAAAGTAGGGGAACATTACATTTGTGCTTAATACAATGTGAAGGCTGCGCTTGGAGCGGGGCAGTGCCGGAAGCAAGGAGGTCAGCTAGGAAACGGTGGCGTGTTCCAGGCCAGGAGGGAGAAGTTAAGGAGTTGCATTGGAATTAGGAAGAGATTTTTGGGCCTCTAAGAGGACATTTGAGAAACTAGTGAATGTTGAGGAAAAGCAGTGTCAGGCAAGAAAAATATGCAACAGGTTAAAGTTTTAAAGTTAAGGAAACTGTTGACATGTTCCAGGCATGAACTAAGGGACTAGACCAGGAATTTTAGAAGTATTTTGGATAGAGTTGGCTTTTAATTGGGTAAGAATAAAGGAAAGAAAACTCCAAAATGACTTCTAGATTTTTTTTTTTTTTTTTTGAGACAGGGTCTCTGTTGCCCAGGCTGGAATGCAGTGGTATCATCTTGGCTCACTACAACCTCCACCTCCCGGGTTCAAGAGGGTCTCGTGCCTCAGCCTCTAGAGTAGCTGGAATTACAGGTGCGCACCATCACACCCAGCTAATTTTTTGTATTTTTAGTAGAGACAGGGTTTCCCAGTGTTGGCCAGACTGGTCTCGAACTCCTCACCTTCAGTGATCTGCCTTCCTCGGCCTCCCAAAGTGCTGGGATTACAGGTTTGAGTTGCCGTGCTCAGCCTAGATATTTAACCTCAGTAACTGAGAAAATTGTGCTCCTACTGAAAGAGTACGTCAGAAATGGAGGTGTTTTTAGAGGATAATAAATTAGTTCTATTTTGAATATATTGGTTTTAAAGTAATGGGGAGCATATCCAAGTAGCAGTATTCAATACACAGTTGGAAACACCAGAGTAGAAGGTTGAGGTTAGGACTAAAGAAACAAATTTGAATGATTTACCTGCTTAGAAGTCATTCAGGCCACAAAAAATTCAACCAAATGTGCGCTTGTTTTAGGGGCTGGGATACAGAGACAAAAGACAAGTCCGATCTCTGCTTTTGAGAAGCTTTGAGGCCAGTAGGGATAGTATGTCATGATACTCCTCACTGAATATTATGCACTGAATATAATGTTATCCCTGAACATATCCCTTATATAAAAATAATGTACATTATTATCTCTTAAATAAGGGAAAGCTGGGCATGGTGGCTCATCCCTGTAATCCCAGAACTTTGGGAGGCCAAGGTGGGTGGATCACCTGAGGTCAGGAGTTTGAGACCAGCCTGAACAACATGGTGAAATCCTGCCTCTACTAAAAATACAAAAGTTAGCTGGGCGTGGTGGTGGGTGCGGGTAATCCCAGCTACTAAGGAGGCTGAGGCAGGAGAATCACTTGAACCTGGGAGGCAGAGGTTGCAGTGAGCCAAGATTGTGTCATTTATACTCTAGCCTGGGTGACAGAGTGAGACTCTCTCAAAATACTAAGAGATAATGTGTTCAGGGTAGAAACAGGAAGGGATCTTTACTTTGTGACCTGGGAAAGTTAACAGTTTTACAAAAGAAAAAGAAGAATGTTTCAAGAACATATATAGGTTGAGTTTGAATTGGGTAGAGGAACTAGGGTAGAGGAAAAAGGGAAGATCCCGGGAGTTAAAGGTGAATTTGAAGAGTAGGAAATGCTGTTACAGAAGCTGGGACTGGCAGGCATGATCAGTAGTGTCAGATGTTTTGAGGAGGTCAAGCTGTAAAGACTCAAACAACAAAGATTTTTTTTATTGTTGGGGTAAGAACTAACAAATACGTTTGGTGGATGCCCCCAAAACAGTGAAATAAAGAAGGGGAGAGGTGGAAGGAATGTATTAATTTATAATGGTCAATACTTATAAAAGGTAATAGTTACTGGAATTTGGAATGTCTTCAGGGACAGTACATGTATTTGTTCCATAAATTGACCAAACTTAAAAAAATCGGAAGTCATTCTGAGCTGATTGAAACTGACGGCTGGGCACGGTGGCTCATGCCTGTAATCCCAGTACTTTGGGAGGCTAAGTTGGGCGGATCATGAGGTCAGGAGTTCGAGACCAGCCTGGCCACTATGGTGAAACCCCATCAATACTAAAATTACAAAAATTAGCTGGGTGTGGGGGCATGCACCTGTAGTCCCAGCTACTCAGGAGGCTAAGGCAGGAGAATCGCTTGAACTCTGGAGGTGGAGGTTGCAGTGAGCTGAGACTGCATCACTGCACTCCAGCCTGGGCAACAGAGCAAGACTCCATTAAAGAAAGAAAGAAAGAAACTGACAACTGGTGTGGCACCATGGCTCATGCTATAGTCCTAGCACTTTGGGAGGCCATGGCAAGAGGATTGCTTGAGCCCAAGAGTTTGAGACCAGCTTGGGCAACAGGGCAGAACCCCATCTCTACAAAAGGTACAAAAATTGTAACAGAGTGTGGTAGCTCAAGCTTGTAGTCCCAGCTGCTTGGGAGGCTGGGGCAGGAGGATCGCTTGAGATTGAGATGTGGAGGCTGCAGTGAACCGTGATCGTACCACTGGGAGTTGGAGGGAGTGATCGTACTTCAGCTTGGGTGACGGAGGGAGACCCTGTCTCAAAAATTAATAATTTAGGGTTCTCTAGCTTTTTACCAGGTTTTCACATTTCTTCTGTGTGGAGGATAGATACAAATTATTTTGTTGACTGATATAAAGTAATAGCCCAAAGTAGTAGTATCCTCTGAAGTTGTTGTAGTTTGTGTGTCACCTTTTCCAGAAAGGTTGAATTTTGTGACTTCAAATTCTGAGAGTAGGAGTCCTGGCTGTTTTTGGACTGCAGAGCGAGAAGAGACTGAGACGTGACGATGCAGGCCAAGTGGAGGGTCACAGAAGGTGCTGTTTGCAAGACGCCACTGTGTTTCTAATCTGTTATTTTTGCCCCATAGGTTTAACTTCATTATTCAGCAAAAATGCGGATTCAGAAAAGCACCCAAGAAGGTTGAACCTCGAAGATCAGACACAGGGACAAGTGGTAAAGCACACAAGAGAAGTGCTTTGATTCCTCCCGTGGAAGAAACAGCCTTTTATCCCTCTCCCTACCCTATAAGGACTCTCATAAAACCATTATTTTTTACTGTTGGGGTAAGAGTGCACTTCGCTAGGAGTTACCTACCTTGCTACAAATGCAGCGTTAAAATACTTTGTCCTGTTTGGGCTCCCTTAAAGTAAGGACAGGCGGAGGGGGATCAAAAGGAGCTGGGTTCATGAGTTCTGATTATAGAGTCTGAATTTAATACTTGCTTTTAGAATCTGGCTCACTTATGTAAGCCTTAGAGAATAAACTTATGGGCCGCATTTGGTACAGCATTTCAAGTGGTGCTAAGTTGGTGTTTTCAGTTTTATTTGAGGATTTATAGCTGGAAACAGGCCCCAGCATACTGTGAAGTTAATAAAAAGGGAAACAATAAAATGTCCTTTTCGGCAGGGCGCAGTGGCTCACGCCTGTAATCCCAGCACTTTGGGAGGCCGAGGCAGGTGGATCACGTGAGGTCAGGAGTTTGAGACCAACCTGGCCAACATGGCAAAACCCCATCTCTACTAAAAATA